CACCACTAAACAACCACCAACACCACCACCCCTCACCACCACTAAAACACAACCATTTACAAATTAAAAACAACACCACCACCTGCAATCACCATCTGCAAACCACCAACCTTCATCTGCAAACCACCAACCCTCAAATAGAAGATCAGTGCACGGCAGCTGCTGCTGTGCTGCGAATCGCAGCAGCCAGAAACGCTGTTGCGAATCGTGATTCACAGTAGCTGAGGGGGGGATGGGAAGGGGGAGGGGCTAATTGCAGAGGAGAAGGGAGGCGAGAGAGGAGGGGAGGAGAGAGAGAGGGGGTGGAGAGTGTAAAAATAGGGTTAGCGTTTTTATATATCACCTGATTTTTGAAGAATAAAATTTGGTCCCTAATTTTTGAATTTGAGACTTTAAACCCCTGGAATTGTGTAATTTCCTCTTTAATTAATTAGATTAAGANGGGGTGGAGAGTGAAAAAATAGGGTTAGCGTTTTTATATATCACCTGATTTTTGAAAAATGAAATTTGGTCCCTAATTTTTGAATTTGAAACTTTAAACACTTGGAATTGTGTAATTTCCTCTAAATATAGTCTTGCTTCTTCAAGTGCAATAAAAAATTATTATTTTGAAATATTAAATTATATAAAGATTTGCTCATCGGGAGCAATATAATAATTTTCTTATAAAATTTATTTTAGAGAGTAGGTAATATTCAGTTGTGAAAGATTCGCTTCTTGCATCGTTGTATGTTCAATTGAGTTAATAAATCTTTCATTAAAGGGACCTAATATAATTATACGTGTTAGATTCTTTTTATTTCTTATTATTGTTTTTTGTCAAAGACATGATATGCATGATATATTAACGAGACTTGAATTCAAAATCTTTGATTGCTCTGGTATTACCATATTGTAAAATTAGAGCTAAAATTCTCTCCTCAAGTCCATGAGACACATAAACATGGATACCAATATGGGTGTCAATTTGACTCGTCGATTTGGTCTGCTCGTGGCTTGACTAAGAAAAAATTCAAGTCGATTCAACTCGCAGCTCAATAGAATCAAGCCCGATCTAGTCCATGATGAGTCGAGCCTTAAAATAAAATATTAACAAGTCAGTACGTGTAGTTGCCTGTGTTTTTTAAAAAAAAAAAAGCAAAAAAAAAAGCGAGCCGAAAGCTCTGCTCTGCTCGACTCGACTCGACTCGGGCAAAAAAAACTCGAACCATTTT